CACACTTTGATCCATGGGCTATCCAGACAATGTATTCATGAAGATTATTTATTAAAATGAACAGGGAAAGCCCAGTTACTGCAATACATGTCAAGCCATAATTTGCTGTTCCCAGGATTACTGCAACAATTTATCAGACTGGGTGGCTTTAAATAAAAACCAGAAAATTATTTTTTCCAGTTTCTGGAGGCTAAAATCAAGGTGATGGCAGGGTCCTGCTCCCTCTGAAGGCTCTAGAAGATCCTTCCTCTCCTCTCCTGGTTAGTGAGGATTGCCAGTAATCCTTGGTATTTTGCATCTTGTAGCAGTTGATAACTGTCCAGTATCTACCTCCATCACAAAATGGCCCATCTGCCCTGTTTGTGCATCCCCAAATCAGTCACTGGATCCAGAATTCACGGTAATTCAATATAACTTGATTAAATCTCCAAGACCCCATTTTCACCTGTGGTTACACTTCACAGGTATTGGAGTTTAGGGCTGCAACATATTTTACTGAGGGACACAATTCAACCCCACCTGCTAATAACCCATTGGCCAGAGCAAATCACACGGCTGTGCCTAGAGTCAAGGGGTGGGAACATATACTAAACCCAAGGTGAGGCCACAGTTTATCACATGGCCAAATCAACATCAAAAGAGTATTCCAGGGGAAGTGATTACTTTTAATAATATGTATAATATATAGCTACATATATTATACACATTATACACATTTGTACTATCTATCAAAACTGGTGAATCCATCAAAACTGGTTAAGAGTATATAGTCATTTATCATTTAGTGTATCAAACATAATTCCAGACTTAGGAAAGGAGAAGTTCTAGTCAAAAAACTACTGCAATAGCAGAACTCAGATCATAAAAGCTGCAGATATCTCAACATGTAACAAAAATAAAAGCTCTTTAACAAGAATAAAATTAATTTTTAAAAATTATTAAGTGGGTAAGCAGGAGTAGCAGAAACTTTGTATGGGAGTGAGCAGATGGCATAATCAGGTGTTTTTGTTTGTTTGTTTGTTTTAAGATTTATTTGTGCACACAGAACTGGGGTGCAGGCCAGAGGCTCAGGGGCGGCGAGAGGCTTCACAAGAGACATGAGTGGGGAGTAGAACAGGCAGATCGACGAAGTACACTGCTGAGGGGAGCATCGGGCGGGTCAGGAGAGGTCTGCTACGCCATGTGGTCGCCTCCGGGACAGGTGGGAATCGAACTCATGCTGCAGTGGCTTTAGCTTCTTAGTGCTGTGCTTTAACCTGTTGCGCCACCAGGGAGGGCCATAATCAGGTGTTTTAACAAGAACTTTTTTCCTATGTGATTGACAAATTCTCAGAATAAGCCATTAAGTGGGAATTTCTATATCTGGGGACTTAAATTTTGGGACAAATTAAAGTTCAGGAACCTGTGGGAGAAACCTCACTAAAATCTGGTCAAGCCAAATCAACTGGTAAGAAATGGGCCCTCTTCTTGTAATTCTTCTGAAGCTTTAAGATATTTCAAAGTAAGATTAAAGCTTGTAAGTCAGCACTTAATAGTTTTGGAGTGAATCCCTGTTCTGCAAAAACCATATGACATTCTACTAAGTGAAGAGCAGTTTTTCAACTCATTAGAACATATTTTGATTTAACTTATGAGGTTGGGATGAATTATTTGGAGACTGACTATATTAAGATTTCTTATTGGTAACTATATTTACTAGCTCTCTACTATATGCTAGTGAGAACAGATCTTAAAAGTTCTTATAAGAAAACTGTAGCTATGTATGTTGGTGGGTGTTAACTATACTGAATATAGTGATCATTTCCCAATACATGCAAATATTGAATCATTATGTGGTACACCTAGAGCTGATTATATATTTTCCATGTCTATTGTATTTCAATAAGAACAAAGACTTCCTATGATCTTGTAAGCTCTTCTATAATGTGTGAATTACTGAGAAAAATAGCCCTTGTAATTTTTTTTTACAGATTTATTTATTTATGCATACAGAGCGGGGTACAGGCCAGAGGTGCAGAGGCAGTGAGAGGATTCACCAGAGACAGAGTGGGGGGCAGAACAGGCAGACTGACGAAATACACTGCTGAGTAGAGCAGTGGGTGGGTCAGGAGAGGTCTGTTGCACCATGTGGATCACCTCCAGGGTGGGGATCAAATTCATCCTGAAGTGGCTTTAGCTTCTTAGAGCTGTGTTTTAACCCCCTGTGCCCCCAGGGAGGGCCCTCCTTGTAGTTTTTTAACCAAAACTCTGTAGACATATTGACTAAGGATAAACATGTCTTACTTATAGAATTCCTTGGAACTTATTCAGAATATAAGAAGAACTACTACAAGTCAACAGGAAAAATATAAGCAATCCAATGTAAAAAATCACCAAGAGAACTGAATGACCCTCCTCCCATCCAAGGGATAGTCAGATAACTACAAATACATTAATGTCCCACCTCATTGGAAATTAATAAGCAGAGAAATGCAAAGTAATAACAATGAGATTACAAGAATAGTTAAGAATTTTAAAGACTGGCAATGGTAGGTATTGGTAAGAATTTGAAAACTAAACTTCATTGCTGATACTGAAAAAGACATACTAAAAAAGGCAAAAGGAGTCCTTAATAGCTAAGAGCTGGCCTAATACTCACCTCTAGGTCATGACTTTCTCCTGTTGAACAAAAATAATTTCAGAGAATACCAACATTTTAGTTAGTAAGGTCACTCTGTGACTGATGGATCAAGAAAAAAACCAGAGCATCCACTAGTCATGTTTGAATAAAGACAAAAATCAACACCTAATTCATAAAAGTGACCAAACATCTTTCCATCCCAGCTAACACAAATTACGAATCACATCCTATTTACCAATCACAGCTTTAGCATCCTCATCTCATTTTCTACATAAAACTTGCTAATATATACAATCATAGAATTAACTCCATTTCTGACAGTGTCCAATCCAGAGCAAAGTTCTACTTCAAATCACCCCCAAATTATCTTAATACAAAACTCTGCAGACATATTGGCTAAGGATAAACCATAAGTCCCGACACCTTCTTACTAAACCCCACAACTCTTGTGGTGTGCCACCTCCCTTGCTGTATTAAGTTAGAAAATACAACTGTCAACTACAAGTGCTCCCGATGGTCTATTGCCAAAGGGCATTGACAGGCACCCTGGAATCTTACACAGCAAAGGAAATGAATGAACTAGAGCAAACACATATGGATTTCACCTTGAACTAAATAATGGAGGAAAGACATTAGATTCAAAAGATTACTTACTATACTATGAGGTAATCTGATTATATTAGGCAGTCTTGTTTCTTTCATAATAAAAACATTATTCTGTATGCTTTATACCACTTTTTAAAGGAATTACAAGTTAGGGATACATATGTAAGCTAGGAGTCAAGATAGCTAGCTGAGACTGAGGGACATCAGGTCAGGACGTCTTTAATGTTTCATTCACCTTTTTCCCCACTTGAAAAGTATGTTTTAAACTTCTCCTTAGTGGCAGTAATTATTTCTATAGCATCTAGGAACACATAAAATGCTGAACAAGAATGGGAAATCACCAAATGAGCAGAAGACTATTAGAAGATACATTGTAGGACTTATGCAGCCATGAGTAGCTGTGTGAACTGGGCAAGTGATTTCATCATTCAGGCCTTAGTTTCTCCATTCCCTAAAACAAAAAAGGTAGGGGGGGGCCCTCCCTGGTGGCACAGTGGTTAAAGCGCAGCACTATGAAGCTATCACAGCCACTGCAACAGGAGTTTGATCCCCTACCAGGGACATGACCCACATGGTGTAGCAGACCTCTCCTGACCCGCCTGCTGTTCTCCTCAGGAGTGTATTTCAGTATATCTGCCTGTTCTGCTCCCCTCTGTGTCTCTGGTGAGTCCTCTCACCCCTGCACTTCTGGCCTGTATCCCAGTTATGCATGCAAAATAAATAAATCTTAAAAAAAAAAAAAAGGCAGGGGGAGAGGGATCTCATCTTTCCAAAGTAACATATCACTCTTAAATGTTCTATGATCTATGATTCTAAAAGAAATTCTCAACAAGTATCTCCCACTTACTATCAGGCCACTGCCAATATATGTAGTCTATTGTTCCATATTGTACTACGAAATCTAAAATTAATAATTTATCTTCATTTATGCACTATATAATCTTGGAAGCATTATATAGTGATTAAAAGCACAGACTGTGGAGTCAGAGAAAACTGAGTTTCTTCTCTAATATTCATGAGTTTGGGGAGTGGTATAACCACTTCAGTCTCAGCTTCTTTGCTTAAAAAATAATGCTTATCTCATAAGGTTTTGCAATTATTTAATTGGTTGTTGCATATAAATCTCATAACACAGTAGCAGGAAAGAGAAACCATGCTTAATATAAATCACAATCATGAGTTAAGAGCCAGCTGATTCCTCAGTATGTGAGAATTCTGAGGGATAGACTGGAATTGTGGAAATCAATAAGCTAATTGGCCAGTTCCCCTATCAGTGTTCCTAGAGGACGCCAGGTTCCTCAAAGATAACCGCTGCCAGTCCCCTTTCCTTTGGCTTATGGATCACTTCCTCCAAGCCCCACCCTTCGGAGCCCCAAACCCCATTTTTTAGGCTCCAACTGCGTAAGACATTATACAGGATCTTTTTTGCCTCTCCCTTGTTTCTGGGTGGACTTCCGAAGTAGCTTATTACACGCCCTGCTTGCTAGCGCGCAGGTAACATGACGTCATCTTGAGTGAGTAACCTCATTGGCCTCTCAATTCCCAAGGACTTTTTTTTTTGAAAGGGAATTAACAATGCGCGCCTGCCGTTGCTCTGACAACAAACTTTCAAACCACTACCTCATTCTCCAAATGAGAACACATCTATTAATACATTCAACCGACTGGGAGTCGAGTTGCTTGATGCAAATTTTCCTCCGGGTGCAAAAAAACAGCTTACTGGCTTGGCTAACCTTTGGCGGCGCCGCGATCAGAGGCCAGCAAAGGCGAAAGCAGCGGGTGTATGAACCTGTTGGAAAAGCAAAAGTTTTTCTGCAACAGGTGGCTGCCGCTGCAGAGTGCTTGGGAGAACAGATGGCTGCAGCACGTAGAGAACTCTTACGGCGCAGGCAAGTGAAGTCTCTTCTCCTTTTACTATATGTTTCTGTGGGGGGTGCGGCAACCATTCGCTATTCTGTGGCGGAAGAGATGGAGAGTGGTTCCTTTGTGGCTAATGTAGCTAAGGACCTGGGGCTGGAGGTGGGGAAGTTGGCTGCTCGCGGGGCTCGGCTCGTTTCTGAGGGCAACAAACTGCACTTCCGGCTCCACCGCAAAACGGGAGACCTGTTTGTGAAGGAGAAGCTGGATAGAGAGTCACTTTGTGGCAAAGCAGACCCGTGTGTTCTGCACTTTGAAATAGTCCTGGTGGAGCCACTGCAGTCCTTTCGTGCTGAGGTCAGAGTATTTGATATCAATGACAATGCCCCCGTTTTCCTAAACAAGGAGCCGGTTTTAAAGATTCCGGAGAGCACTCCCCTGGGTTCACGTTTTCCTCTGCAGAGCGCCCAGGATCTGGATGTGGGCCTCAATGGTCTGCAAAACTATACCTTAAGTCCCAATGCCTATTTCAACCTACACACCCGCTTCCGCAGTCATGGGCCCAAATATGCTGAGCTGGTGCTGAATAAACCGCTGGACAGAGAGGAGCAGTCTGAAGTCAACTTGACCATTACAGCAGTGGATGGCGGGTCTCCGCCCAAGTCTGGCACTGCCCACATACGCGTGGAGGTTCTGGACGTCAACGACCACGTTCCTCAGTTCTCAAGGCTGGTGTACCGCACTCAGGTACCCGAAAATAGTGCCAGCGGTTCTTTGGTGGCCACAGTGACTGCCACTGACTTAGACCAGGGATCCAACAAGGAGATAACTTACTCTTTGGCTCAAAACCCTGAAGCAATTCTCCAGACCTTCCAAATTGACTCCCAAACCGGAGAAGTTCGACTAAGAGGGCCCCTGGATTTTGAAGCCATTGAAACGTATGACATCGACATTCAAGCTACTGATGGAGGAGGCCTCTCTGCTCACAGCAAAGTTCTAGTGGAAGTGGTGGATGTGAATGACAATCCTCCTGAAGTGACCATCTCCTCTGTGTCCAGCCCGCTCCCTGAGGACTCCCCACTACAGACAGTAGTTGCCCTTTTCTCTATCCGAGACCGGGATGTTCGAGTGGGAGGAAAAATCACCTGCTTCCTCAGAGAAGATCTTCCCTTTGCAGTCAAGCCTACCTTACGGAATTCTTATTCTCTGGTCACTAACAGAGGTTTGGATAGGGAGGAGGTTTCAAGCTATAATGTCACCCTTATTGCCATGGACACTGGGCCACCCAATCTGTCCACGGAGACGATGATAGAGGTGTTAATATCTGACATCAATGACAATCCCCCAGTATTTCTGGAAGACTCCTATGTCTTGACTGTTCGAGAAAACAACAGCCCTGCCATTTTTATTGGTAAAGTCCATGCCGAGGATCAAGATATAGGTGAGAATGCCCAAGTAACATATTCTCTACTGCCTCCACAAAGTGGAGACTTATCAGTCTTTGCTTACATCTCTATAAATTCAGACAATGGGAAGCTCTATGCACTAAGAACCATGGACTATGAGGCCATTAAAGATTTTCAGTTTGTGGTAAAAGCAACTGATGGGGGCATCCTGTCCTTGAGTAGCCAAGTTACTGTCAGAGTGGTTGTCCTGGATGACAATGACAATCGTCCAATGATTCTGTACCCACTGCAGAATGGCACCTTGCCCTGCAATGACCTGGTGCCCAGGTCTGCAGAGGCAGGCTACCTGGTGACCAAGGTTGTGGCTGTGGATGGTGACTCAGGTCAGAATTCTTGGCTTTCATATCATCTACTTAAAGCCACTGACCCTGGGTTATTTTCTGTTCAGCAACAAAATGGGGAAATCCGCACACTGAGGCAGATATCTGAGAGAGACCCCATGAAGCATAAACTGATCATTCTTGTTCAGGATCATGGCCAACCAGCTCTTTCCACTACTGCCTCACTAAACATTCTGCTGGTGGATGGCTTTTCTGAGCCATATCTGCAGTTCCGGGATCCATCCAACCATTCTACAAGGGTAAATCCATCCACTAAGTATCTGGTTATCTCTCTGGCTGTACTTTCCTTTCTCTTTCTCCTCTCCGTCACAGTTATTTTTGTTATACATATCTACCAAAAGATTACTAAATATAGAGAAAGGTTCACAATTCAAGAGCATTTCTATGATGACTGTAATTTCCCTAACAACATAATACAAGCAGGAGCCAATGGAACCTTAACCCAGCCTTGTTCCTATGAAATATGCTCAGCTACTGGCACTGGCACTAGTGAGTTCCGGTTTCTTAAGCGCTTTATGCCCAATTTCCCCTTCCCTCATGGCACTGGAGAGCCAAAAGCAGAGGCTCGCTCTAATTTACCATCAAATCCCAATAGAAATAGGTCTCGGGGGTCAGAGGGCCATGTCCCAGGAGCAGATGACTACATGTAGCGCATATTCATGAGCATTACTCCTGTCTCTCATGATGGTTCATTAGCCGTGGTCCTAGAAATGCTTACTTTTGTAGAGAGATCCTGCTATTTTGCCCTTAAATTATTTCCCACTAGAAGGTGATGCATGCACAGGGAAGAGAACTAGCTTTTACTTTCAGTATATCAGGAAACAAGTTTGAGAAACAGAGGTATAGCTTATCCTTACACAGAAATTTCTGTATTTTTGTGCCTTGGTAAATGGAGATCATCTCCGAATCAACTGCTTGCATGGCAGCATTCATAATCACACAAATGCCTGGATGAATACCTATCTTCACGGCTAGCTAGATGGGAGGAGGGGTAAAGGAAAGAAGGAGGAAAGAAGGAAGCTTTGTTTTATTTGCAAGTAAAGGCAGATAAAGGCTAAAGACACTCAGACCCAGGGGCTAGATGTGCTCAGAACCACTTCCAAAATCTCCTGCAAGTTAAAATGTGAACTGTCCCCCTAGGCTAAGTCCTCCAACCCTAGTAATCCCAGAATCTTCTTTGAGCAGGGAAGAGAATTAGTCTAAATATCTCAGAATTGTTTGCAGATATTGTACAGAAAACCACAGAAAATTTGTGTGCTTTATATACTGGAGACAAAGACACTGGACCCACCACCAGGAATGTCTCCATTTCAAGGGATGCCCTTTCTATCGAATAATTAAGAAATTTATGATTGACAGTGGAGACCTTTTCAAATCAGAACAGGATAGGTAGAGAAAGCACTTATGGTAAATAAAAAATTAATATTTCTAATATAAGCACAATTATGAGATTTGTTGAACGAAGCAAAATACAGGCTTCATTAAGTTCTTAGTTCTTTTTATCATAATAGCTGCAGTTCTTCATTTATATGGGCACCATGTGATGTTTGGTCAAGTAATTAAAGGAAGGGGTATGGCAAGAATATTGGAAAACATAGAAATGAACTTTGAAAAATTTGCCAAATCATGCATTTTGCAGAGTATGGAGAAGTGAAGGAAGGAGACGATTGGGGAATATTCCCAAAAGATGGCGCTGGTGACAGTCATCACCCCTATTTTCCTAAGGATGCAGATTTGGACCTAAAACATGTAGATACAATTTTATTAAAAGCAGAAAACCTGAAAAACACTGGAAAGACTTTTTTCAAATCCCAGTCCTGGGAGACGACTATTTTAAAGTAAACAGAAGTTTTAAAGACTGTTATTGAGAAAGTAAGTAGATCCAAGCTACAACTTGTAGCTTTCAACAGCATGCTGAATATCGGTGCTTGTAAACTGAAGATGTCCCATTGGCAGGGAGCAACAGTGGCCTTTGAAAGAGACCCATCAAATACCAAGGCACTGTACCAGGAAGCTTAAGGATAGCAAGGATTAAAAGCATACTATCAAGCAGACTTATCAGAAGCTGAGGAGATGGTACCAGAAGATAAGACTATTTAGGGAGAATTTCTGAAAGTCAAACAAAATATAAAGGCAGAGAAAGAGAAAGAAAAGGCAGGATATATTGATACAAACATGTTGGCTTAAAAAGATACTTAAGTTTGCTTAAATATAACATTTGATTGTACACATGCAATAAGAAAATTAAAGGGGTTCTGTCAATTATATGTGATCCTTAATGTGTTGACACTTCCATCATTTTTGTACTACTAGTAAGGGTTCACTCTTAATAAAAAGTGCTATAAAATACAGTGAGGTTGATTTTTTAAAATGACTGCATTATTCATTTAGATAACAGTGTCTAACATATTTTTGAACTCCGAGAGACACATCTGATTGAATAAACAAGTGACAAACTGAAAAAAGTCACCCAGCTCATAAACAGTCTCCAAAATTGTTATTGATAGATGTGGGTTTCTTACAGGCTTGTAGTAGTTAACAAGTGATATCAAATACATTATAGAAACACAATAAAGAAAAAACATTCAGTAAAGTTATGGCCTTAAGAAAAAAAGGCCTTACGACATTTTCAGGTAGTACAAGACTTAATTTTAAGTCAGTTTCTCATTTTAGCATTATGAAATGATGGAAAGTAAGATATTTCTTAGCAAAACCATTCACAAAATGAAATGGAATAGGGTAACAAGTTGGTCTTTTATCATCACTCTTTTGCCTCGTTATGTAAGGTTCTCTCACTCTAAAATTAAGGAAACCATTATTAAACATTAACATACTTCAAGGATGCTATCTATACTACTAACTATACCTTAGAAGTTAAAATTTTCCTTTTAAATAAAACTTTAACATGCATCTTATTTTATACAAAAGTGTAAATTCAGATTCACAAGGACATGTCCAATACTGGAGAGCACAGTTATCTATAACTGAAATTTCAATACTTTTCTTAAAATATTTCCCTTAGAATACTTTTCAAAATATACCTGGTCATAAGTTTTGATGTTAGCCACAGTCTTAGAATATGACTGAAGCTAAAGATCTAGCTGTCTAGCTGGTGGCCAGGATTTACTAAATTTTAGTGCTATAAACTTTTAAATGGTGGAAATGCACAGTGCAGAACTGTCTTAAATATTTTCCTTCATATTTTAAGGATACACAAAGCAAATACAGAATTTGCTTATACATAACATAGAATTTTATTGTTAATATTGTAATATTGCTCATTCAGAATAAAGGCCTTTCATTCAGAAAACATAGATTAATGTTCCAGTGTGCTGGAATTAAGATTGGTTAAAGTGTGCTTAAGTCAGAGGCTTCAGTTAGAAAGGACACAGAATTAACTTTTCTAAGTAGATGGTTAAACACCTTCATCTGATTGCATAATTATCACTAATTTAATTATATTCAATGATATGCACATAAATCAATGGAGCCTGGCTTGATGTCAAGGAAAAGGAAATGATATAGATCAGTGATTTTAAGATTCTAAAACAGTGAATTTCACACACAGAAAATAGACAGAAAATACAGATGTTAATCTCTCCATGTATGACATTATACTAACATGAAACAAACTATCATTTCATAGCATGATTTCATAAAAGAAATGTTAGACAACCTCACAAAGGAACTATAAAGTTTTATAGAAAATGTATTTTGCCATTATTTTTCTCATTTTTGCCTAGATCTGTGAAAATGCTGCCATGACTTCAGTTTGGGTACTATTGGATTAAATAATAATCTAATCTCATTGTTATTCAGATTTTAAATGACCAAGACAATTACAATTGTACCTGATCCTTAGTAATTAGGACCACTCAATTCATTGAGTGTGATGTCAGTCATCTGTATTTAGAGAGGACTCTATAGAGAAGACTCTATATACCAAGTGAGATTAACTCCAGGTCTCCATCAGTGAATAAAGATTAAAAAATGCAAATACTTTGGACAATTACTTTCCCTTAAATGTCACTGATACTAGAACTCTTTGTATTTATTTGGATCTATAACCTAAGTGCCTTAAAATGCTCTTGTGTAAAAGGTCATGATTAAATAATAAAATTACTTTATTTAACTTTGAAATGTATATAGAAATGCATTCCTATTGGAAGGTTTAAGTTATAAAGAATTTAAATCTTTTAAAAACTACCACAAAATAATTTAAACTTATAAAACTGCAAAAAAACAATATAGTGTTCCAAGTACTCTTCACCTAGCTTCCTTTGTGTTAACATTTATATAACCATAGACACTCACCAAAATTAAGAGATTAACCTTGGTACAATTCTACTAACTAAATTACAGACTATCTTTAGCCTGCTAGTTTTTTTCACTAATGTCTTTTTCCTTTTCAAGGAATCTAAGATCCCACAATGCATCTAATTCTGTCTTTTTAGTTCCTTAAGTTTTCCTTGTCCATAATTAGTGATAGTTATGCAATCAGATGAAGGTGTTTAACCATCTTCTTAGAAAAGGAGATGGTCCTTTCTCACTAAAGCCTCTGATTTAAGCACACCTTAACCAATCTGACGCTTTTTGGGCCAGATTCAGTTAGATATAATTGACGTAGTACTGTATAAGTTTAAACTGTATGGTATAATGACAGATTTACTGTGAAAATCAAGAAAAATTTCCTTCAGTTTGGGACTGTCTGCGTTTTATCATTATGAAATTAGATTGCTTTTATGTATTATGGAGAAAACCACAGAAATGATACTGTACATTTTGCCTATCAAGGGGTAAATGATGTCAATTTGGCACTTTAACTAATAACATTAATCTCTTTAAAATTGTGGTGAGAGGCCCTCCCTGGTGGCGCAGCGGGTTAAAGCACAGCACTGAGAATCTAAAGCCGCTTCCGCATGAGTTCTATTCCCGCCTGCCCCGGAGGTGGCCACATGGTGCAGCAGACCTCTCCTGACCAGCCCACTGCTCCCCTCAGCAGTGTACTTCATCAACCTGCCTGTTCTGTTCCCTACTCTGTCTCTGGTGAAGCCTCTCACCACCCCTGAGCCTCTGGCCTGCACCCCAGTTCTGTATGCACAAATAAATAAATCTTTAAAAAAAAATCATGGTGAGAAAAGAGTTTACCCTGTTAACTATTTTTTAAGTGTACAGTTAAGTAGAGTTAAGGTGACAGTAACCTTGACAACCTAGTTAAGATAATATACGCCATGTTTCACCACTGTAAAGTTATTGCTTCTCCCTTTGTGATTAATAAGTACCTGGAGATACTTTGAAACTATGCAAATATATTTCTGCTTAAACTTTTGCCCACTGATTTTTTTAGTGACCACTGTTGGATCTCTCTTATGGCCATTAATACTATGGCATTCAAATGGTAATTTTTCTGTTTCCTCGATTCATTTTACATTCATTAACTGAAAATTTTCTGTAAGAATTTTACTTCTTCCTACTCATCTACTAATTTAGTCAGTTATTTCTTTACATAGGGACTAATGGATATATACTTTATTATTTGGTTTATATAACTTATTTTGTTATTCAGCAAACCCTGTTACCTGGGATGAAGAAAATATGTTTAAGATTTGAATTATCCACACAGAACATGTTTTGATGACTATTAGTCTTTCT